CATTACACTTTTTTTCCCCCGGCACCTCAAGGGAGTTCCGGTTCCCCCCACCCTCTTACCTGCCAGGGATCTTTACGCCACATTAAAAACCCCCACATAAAATTCATTAAACCCCTTAGCTTAACCTATTTAATTCTATTCCCACCATTCTGTGGATGACTGTTACCATCAAGACGTTCATTCATCAAATTCAACACTTTTCTTTCACTCTGTTGATGCACCCCTCAAGGAGTTCCTTGATGCTGGTGAGGGCTCTTGATCTAGGAATTGATCTGTGCTCCACTTCCCTGAATTCAGCCTGAATGCCTCCCCCCCACCACATGAGCTTATAACCAGGGTAGCTCTCCCCCAATAATTATAATAGCAATCTGTTGTTGCATCAAGAGACGTTACGATAAATCCAAGAGTCAAATTGACTGATCTCTGTATTTTCTTACTTTACTGTATCGTTCCATGATGTGGCTCACTCTGACTATGTCATCCGCCTTGAGTGACGACAGAATGATCTTCAAGAGTCACAGTTTGACCAAGCGCCTGAGAGGACGCTGTTGAGTACGTCAGAGTACTTGATAGCGGCAGACGTGTACCAGGTTGCACAGGGACGGAGGTGAGGGTTGGGTATCCCACTGCAAGTGGAGCAGCCAGAAGGGCAACGTCTACTACGTGGCTCTCAGAGCCGTAGATGACCATGGAAACACAAGGTGAATTGCCTTATCCATTCTGAGTTGCAATACATTCTTCTGTAACTGTAGCTCTCTCAATAGAATTTTCATTAAGTAATGAAATTTACACAAATAACCCGCACATAAAAGAGAGAAGCTTACGACGACGTTTCGGTCCGACTTCGGTGTGACTTTGTCCATGGTCCAAGTCGGACTGAAACGTCGTCGTAAGCTTCTCTCTTTTATGTGCGGGTTATTTGTGTATCGTTCCAGTCACGGTATTGTGCCTTTTTTGTTATTTAATGAAATTTCTTCCCCTTTTCTTTTATTATCTAGTTCATGCAAACATTCCTAGAAAATAGGTTTGATTTCTATCTTCAAGGGTAAGGGCGACCTAAATTAATCTTTTCAAGGGATTTAATTTCGGATTTTTTTTACACACCCCTTTTTTGCTTAAAAAAACTGATTAATTTCCATTTCCCAGAAGCTGTATAGCCCCCTGGAGGCTATACAGCTTCTGGGAAATAGCTACACAGACTGATGGGCTGAAATTTAAAGTCACTCCATAGACATTTTGTTTCAATGGAATATTTCATATATGTTAGGAATAATAGTTTGGGAAATACTGATGCAAGTGACCACATTAGCTTCTCTGTCTCCCGACAGCCCTGTGTCCAACCTGGCAAGATTCTCTATACCTCTTCCCTCACTAGAGTGGTTGATGCCCTCTGAAAGGCAAGTGACTATGGTGGAGGGCTCTGACGGAGACTCAGAAGCCGCAGCAGGTCATCGAATTCTTGGAGGTAGCGCAGGAGAGGGTCCCACAACGATGCACACGGCTCATGACGCCAGCTTGACGAGGTCTCCAGAGGATCACAGTCGCTCTTCGCCAGAGTTCACCGAACCTAACGTGAATGTGCGGAACCAACTGAACCTAGCTCAGGTTTTGCCAGAACCTACTGAACCTGTATTTATTGTTACGGAGCCTACTGAGCCCGGCCTCCGTGTGAGGAACCTACTGACCCTGGACTTCGCATGACGGAACCTACCGAGCCTGGTCTACGTGTGAGGGAACCTACCGAGCCTGGTCTTCGTGTGAGGGAACCTACCGAGCCTGGTCTTCGTGTGAGGGAACCTACCGAGCCTGGTCTTCGCGTGAGAGAACCTACTGAGCCTGGTCTTCGTGTGAGGGAACCTACCGAGCCTGGTCTTCGCTTGAGGGAACCTACTGAGCCTGGTCTTCGCGAAAGGGAACCTACCGAACCTGGTCTTCGTGTGAGGGAATCTACCGAGCCTGGTCTTCGTGTGAGGGAACCTACTGAGCCTGGTCTGCATGAAAGGGGAACCTACCGAGCCAGGTCTCCGAGTAGGTAGCAGAAGACATTACTTGACTACAGATGCTAGAAATGCTCATATTCTTCCAGTGATTACCGAGGATTCCCAGAATCGTGTGAGAGAGTCGGAGGAACGACAAACACAACAAGGAGGACGAGGCAAGAAGGAACGCAGGGACAAGAGCAAAAAGACGAAGAAAACCAAGAGGAAAGATGGGAAGAAGCAAAAGAGGCAAAGAGGAAGCAGAAACCAAGAGGACTCGTCAGCCATCTCCATGCCAGCAACACGTCAGTGCTAGAAACTATTTTACAAGAACTGCTTGCTGAAAATGACAGATGGCGGAGACATAAAATTAGAAGTATGCAGCTGGTTTAAAAAAAATCCCTTGACGGAATACAAGCAGCTGGAATATTTCATTATCTCGGTATAAATAGCCTGAGAGTCACTTAGTGATCCTGGTCGTCCTTAGAGCCTCTTAAACATTTGTTCGCTTGCTACTTTCTTGCATCTGTGTCTTTCCTTGTTTTAAAGCTGAACAAGATGAACCAGTCGCACTAGTTCTGATGTGTGTGTCAGCGGGTGTGACCGTCAGTCCACACACACGTGACCACCTCTCCCTTAAAGTAATCCTCCGCATGTACTCTAATATATTACTAACATTTACCCTGAAGTTCCTTACATTTAAATCAATATTCTGTCCCCAACACCAGTGCGTAAAGTTTATGTGTGTGTGTATATATATATAAAATTATAAATATATATATATATAATATATATAATATATATAATATATATATATATATATATATATTATATATATATATATATGTCGTGCCGAATATGTAAAACTGGTCAATTAGCAAGAACTCATTTAAAATTAAGTCCTTTCGAAAATTTTCTCTTATACGTTTTAAAGATATATTTTTTCCATTAATGTTAATGTAAAAATTTTTTCATTTTGCACCAAAAGAATCTTAGAAAACTTACCTAACCTTATTATAACAGAACAATTTATTTTAGCTTAACCCAGCTAATATATATTTTAGATTTGTTTACAATAATTTAATACTAAACAAACACAGTGAAATATATTTTTTTCGTTAGGTTCAGAATGATTTTGGCGAAATTATTACATACACAATTTTCGCTTGTCCTATATGGCAAGTTGAACTTTTGCTATTTAAGCCAAGATGGCAATTTTCTGCCTATTCGGCACAAACATATATATATATATAATATATATATATATATATATATATATATATATATATATATATATATACTATATATATATAAAAATTTTATTACATAATGGTACAGAAGATTTAAGAGATACATTGTTGATATAAAGGTGGCATATAAGGTACATGTTGTTACGTGTGTATCATATATATATATATATATATATATATATATATATATATATATATAATATATATATATATAGGGAGGTACCACCTCTGAAACTGTCCTAGGGACCCTCATCCTCAGAGAAAAGAATAAACTTGCTTCAGGAAAAACTCAAAGTTCTCCCTGAAGCTGTTTGAGAATTTTCTCCTACCACCCCCTATATTTAATATATATTTTGTTTAAAGACAAAATATATTGACAAAACATTCACAAAGATACAATAGAAAGTAAAACAACATAGGTAACTCAGAGCAACATCTCGAATACTTCGTCCAGCTCCCCGGCGGTGGGCTGCGTGCCCAGAATGCTGCAGGCATTTCCTCTCTGGATCGCAACACTGAGTCTCTGAAAGAGGAAGCTAGTCGCCCTGTGGTCCTTGGTTTCTATGATGAGCTTTTCACCCAGCTCTTTGAGGAACTTCAGAGCACACTTGCCCCATGCTCCAAGGGTCTCCGACCTTATTGGGATGAAGTTATAGCAAGGGGGAAGGTCTTCATATTTGCGGATCTTCTGGGTCTCCCTGTGGCTGGCAGCTCCACCCCCTTCCACTACGGAGTATGGCAAGCAGGTGTCTGCCAATGTGGTGGCACATGTGTAGTCCCAGGCAATCTGCTTTCCATCCTTCCAAGGTAGCATAGTGGCTCCATCAGGACGCTTTTGACTTCCGTCAGACTTCTGCACTTGGGGTTCCCGTTGAGCTGGGCAACGGGCTGTGGCGAGGCTTCTCTTTATGTCATTGACCTCTTCATGTCTGGCATACTTCCCTTCTGCTGTGTGACACACGAGACCATGAAGTCCGAATTGATCAGCTGTCGCCCTGCCTCAAATACACTTATGTTCGGTGAAGATGGGGACGGCTAGGCGATGAGCAACACCAATCCGAATGTGTGTGTATATATATATATATATATATATATATATATATATATGTATGTGTGTGTGTGTGTGTGTGTGTGTGTGTGTGTGGTGTGTGTGTGTGTGTGTGTGTGTGTGTGTGTGTGTGTCTGTGTCGTGCCGAATAGGCAGAATTTGCGATCTTGGCTTAAATAGCAACGCTCATCTTGCCATATAGGACAAGTGAAAATTTGTGTATGCAATAATTTCACCAAAATCATTCTGAACCTAACGAAAAAAATATATTTCACTGTGTTTGTTTAGTATTAAATTATTGTAAACGTATCTAAAATATATTTAGTTGGGTTAGGCTAAAATAAATTGTTCTTGTTATAATAAGGTTAGGTAAGTTTTCTAAGATTCTTTTGGTGCAAAATTATAATTTTTACATTAACATTAATGAAAAAAATATATCTTTAAACTTATAAGAGAAAATTTTAGAAAGGACTTAATTTTAAATGAGTTCTTGCTAATTGACCAGTTTTACATATTCGGCACGACATATATATATAATATATATATATATAATATATATATATATATATATATATATATATATATATATATATATATATATATATATATATATATATGCAAGGAATTCGCGAGAGCATGCGAAATATACACAAACACTGATCTCTGGCTGAAGGAGACTCGAACCTACGAACCTTAGGACAAGGTACGCAGTGCTTTACCAATCTACCCACACTGACCAATACCTTGGCGTGTAGCATGAGCTACACGTTTGATCCAAGGCAGCCAGCTTTCAGGGAGAAGGCTTACAGCTTTTCATCTCATCCCCTGCATGCATCAGCCTTACTAGAGATTTGAACAATGCAAGAAATTCGTGTAGCTCATGCTACACGCCAAGGTATTGGTCCGGTGTGGGTAGATTGGTAAAGCACTGCGTACCTTGTCCTAAGGTTCGTAGGTTCGAGTCTCCTTCAGCCAGTGATCAGTGTTTATATATATATATTATATATATATATATATATATATATATATATTTATATATATATATATATATATAAATATATATTTTATTTATTATATTTTTTTTTTTTTATTATCACACCGGCCGATTCCCACCAAGGCAGGGTGGCCCGAAAAAGAAAAACTTTCACCATCATTCACTCCATCACTGTCTTGCCAGAAGGGTGCTTTACACTACAGTTTTTAAAACTGCAACATTAACACCCCTCCTCAGAGTGCAGGCACTGTACTTCCCATCTCCAGAACTCAAGTCCGGCCTGCCGGTTTCCCTGAATCCCTTCATAAATGTTACTTGCTCACACTCCAACAGCACGTCAAGTATTAAAAACCATTTGTCCCCATATATATTATATATTATATATATATATATATATATATATATTTTAATATATATATATAAAGCAAATATCGCAAACCAAGCGATACAAGATGCTAAACAACCACGGGGAGAGTAGAATGATAGCTCTAGGCCTTTCGTGTTGCAATCAACACATCAGGAGCTTGCAAAATTGCAGAAAAGAGCCAGACGCATGAATATCATAGCATTAGCAAATCCCACAAACATTCATATTGTAACCTAAACGAAATTAACGTGGCAAATAATATAAATTCAGTCATATCAGCTATGACAACAATAACTTTAAATACGTATATAAATATTTTAAAGTTATTGTTGTCCATAAGGGAATATGACTGAATTTATTAATATTGCTAAGTTAAATTCAATACAGCTCTGCTTTTTACCTGTTTATTTTTTTGGGCCTATCCAACTAGTATACACAATTGTGTGATAATGTACTTATGTGCACCTGGAGTTTACCTGGACCTGTGCCTAATCTTACTTAATTACTTACACATAATACTAAAACATTCTAACAATTCGCAAAAATTATTTACAAAACATAAACTCTCAGTCCACAGCAGATTCGAACCTGGACACTCGCATCAAAGTGCACAATACTTTAGCAGACAGGTACTTTGATGCAGAATGCACATAATGCAGAATCCTAGTTTGAACTGGAGTGTCCTGGTGGCTAAAGCTCTGACATCACAACGGCGAAGTCTGGGGTTCGATTCCAGCGAGGGTTTGAGAAACACTGGGAGCCGTTTCTCCTTATACACCGTTGTCAATGAAGACCCATCAGCAAAATGGGAACCTGGAAGTTTATAGTCGAAACGGGTTTGGGTCGCATCCCGGGACAAAACTGATCTAAATTTTGCCCGAAATGCTCAGCATAACAAGTGGCTTTCTGCGTATTAGCA